ATAATACAAACATCACAAAGAACTAAAAACGCTGAGTCAGAAGACCCAGGACCGTGACAGTATCAGTAAACCAATCATTCAAAAGTTGCCCGTTATTACAAGGAACTGGGGATTTTACTCCAAAATAAATTGCGTGATAAAATATTCAGTTTCTATTAAAGCTTTCAAAACTTTCCTTCAAACCATGTCTATCTCTCTTAACCTTTAATACAAGCATTTTGCATTAGCTGGAGACTTTTTAGGGAAAATGCTCTGTGAAATTTTCTTTCTACAAAATTGCATTTTTGTCCTTGCGACAAACATTCATCACGCAGGCACATCTGGCACAGGCACAAAACTTGCTTTCAGAAATATCACCAAAGGACTCATATCAAGAGTGATATGAGTCAGTGGAATAATGTGAATGTTGATTTTGGTTCATTTTCTAGCTTTTTAGCCCTCACAGGGGCATCATCTTCATCTAACAGTCATTAGTCTTTATGCAGCTGAAATATAAATGAACAGCAGAGACACCAAGAGGCTCTTGGCACAGTTAATAGCCTCCCTTTGTCAGAATAGAGGCATTGTTTTAAAATGTCTCATTCAGCAGCTCTCACAGAGATCATGGTGCACCTGTGAGACTAGAGAAAGATGAAAACACTCAGCGTTTTTAAACAGGAGCCATCTGACCGCAGGAGTAGAAAATGTCATCCCATTCTTCAATTAGCCTTTGGATGGAAAGAGACAGCGGTGTATCCAGCATATTGATTCTTTTAAGGACTGTGACGGAGACAAATGGAGAGCGAAGGGCCGTCCAAGAAACACATAATGTCACGAATTAGGTGGATGAACACGTACTGTGTTCACCAGTGTGAATCAGAGGATGAGCTTATAACACCCAGCAGTTGGCGACCTGCTGAGGGTTGGGTTCGGGGTTGAGTTTAAGTTTAATCACACTGACAGTTTTTAGAAGATCTTACCTTTCAAATGAATGCTTACACTTTCATTTCCACATTACAGTGTGGCGAGGCATGGTTTGTCAATTAGCTCATCATGCCTCCCCTATTAAACGTGCCGGGACCTAAGGAGTGTTGTTGTTGTTGTAGTATAGTGGATCGCAGGTGAAAAGCTACAGTCGTGAGTTGTAAATACGACAACCTGGAATTAATAAAGGGTGTTAAAGTGCAGTATGTGGTTGGATCTGTCATTCCCGTTACAGTTTTCCTTTAAAACATCCAAAAGGTAAGCTTTTAAACAGGAAAAGTTCCATGACTGTTATCTCAACCCAAACCTATAACTGTAGATGGATCACAGGTGAACTGATAGTTGTTAGGAGGTTAACATCAGGAGCCCCACTGCAAAAATTTTAGCTGCAAATGAATTGAATATATGAATAACTGACCAGCTGCCTCACCAGCTAGTCTTCCATACCACGATTGGACTCCAACTCTCTGATCTTGGATGCATTTTACAATCAATGTCTTTGTCTGTCATTTGGGCTCTCTGAGCTCTCTGAGCCCAAATGAACCAGTTCCAGTCAGAGTGCTAGAACCTCACAATAAAGCAAGACAGGACAGGAGGCTCACTGGAGAAGCAGCTGAATGTTAAAGAGTATGGACAAAAGAAGGAAGCCACGTACACGTTATATACCCCTTTGGAGATATAACAGCTCCACTCTTTTAGAAAAGCTGTCTACAAGTTTTTGGAGTGTGGCTGTGGGAATTTTCGCTCTTCTCAAAGATGTTTGACAGGTCAACCCCGGAACAACAACCCTACAGGATTCATACTTCATATAGTATTCAATGTTTTGTCCATATAGTGCATGAGGGACCACCCCAGTGCTGAATCCAGGAACTGGCAAACCATTCCAGGTCCCTTTTAGACTTTTTTCAGGTTCCCCGGGCAATGTGCCAGCTGTGGTATGAAAAAAAGGGGGGATTTGGGTGATATTTGTGGGTTAATTTTATGATGTTTGCAATTATTTTATTATGACAGTATATGTTTTCCGTTGTTGACTTATTCTAAGTCTCTTTTGAAAAACTGAATTGGGAGTAACTACTGTCTATACTGGTGGGCGTTGCAGCTTTTGTTGACAGTCTTTTGTATCAGGTAATGGTGGTGAGGAAGCAACAGTGCCTGTACTACCAGACGCCCAACAAAGACAGTGTGTATACTTTTAACAATTGGAGTACTTTTCTTAGTTTGACTTTTTTCTTCAGATTTGGCCAAACTGATCTGTCCTGTAAATGAGGTGCAGTAAAGGCCCTCCATTTGTGCTTTCACCACTCAGCCATACCCCACATGTACGATGAATTTTTCACCGGAGCAGTTGTCTCTTTATTGTGTTTATAAGGTGCTTATTGTAAATCGCTGTGCTTTAAACCTTTAAAATCAACCTATCAGCGGAATTTGAAGAAACCATCCCTATGGCTTTATATGCCATAGGGACATATAAAGCCATAGGGACATATAAAGCCATACATCTAGTATGCTTTGTGTTGAAAAAGTACGACCAAGCTGCACGTTTGTGTAATACCAGTTTGCACCACACAATGTTGAAGTGTGCCAGTGTGAACTTTATTTCAATGAACTTTAAGTCATTATGAGCACATTCTTATTTACAATGGTGAAATGATAGGTAAAGAAAAGTACAAAATAGCAGCACACATCAGAAAATATCCTAGCACACCCACTAGAAAAATACTACCTTTAAATTAACTGCAAGATATCTTCTTTTTCAGGAGGTCCAAAGGAATGGAAAAGCAGGAATTCCTGCAGGAAGGTGGCCCAGCCTGCTGAGTCTAACGTGCCCACGCAGCAGTGGCAGCGGCAGTGGCAGTGAGCTTTCACTCTCCAGCGCTTGCAGTGAATATTCCAGTGGCTCCCACACTTGGGCAGAGGGACGTGGCTACTCAAAGCAGGTTGGTATCATTCACCGTCCATCCATCTTCTTTTTTGTTTGAAAAAAATGTAATTTGCAAAAGCTAATTATGAATGCTATTTCAGTAATTGCAAATATCTCTTTTAATACATAGTGTGCCTCAAGCCGAGACAAAAGGATGAGTACTGGTTCAGTATCCAGCAATCACTCCGCTGCTCTGGAGCACACAGACCTGGGATGGAAGGAAGGTCACATTTTGAAAGGCCTGAAACGTCTTCAAATGTCCAACTCCAAGGGGACTTCCTCCCTTCCATCTGTACCACACTGCAAAGACTGTATGACCTCAAACGAGGGTATATACTCACTTGGTGTCAAGTTTGCCCAGCGAGGGACTACAGCCAAGCAAGTAGCCCCTACAAGTAAACCTTTCAAGGCAGAAACAAGGATTTCCATTGTAGACTCTGATGATGCGGATGACGAATTGCCTAAAGTACCAAACAGCGAATCCAGTGACCTGCCAGCAAAAGAACTTCTAAGCTTGGACAAGTTGGAGGTCACTCAGGAATTTGAAGTAGATCCTGTGAAACTTTCAGGGAACTCTGGTCTGTTTCCTTCACCTGTCACAGACAACTTCTTATTTCTGGAGGGCCCCACAGTTAAACCTGGTGTGAGCCCAACTGATAGCCTTACACATCTGGAGGAAATGAAGATAGATTCACTAGAAAAACATAAAGGCGTAAAGTTGAGTGACAGAAACAATAACCAGGAAAGATCCACTGACCGTAAATCCAGGCTTGATTATGTCAAAGGACAACAGGGAAGAGCGTCCTCCAAACAAGTGGAAGTGGGAACAGGTGATGTTGGCTCATCAGTTCAACATACTGTACCAAGAGCTCTGTGCTGCATGAATGAAGCCAGGCAGCGCAGCTCCTCAATGGAAGTTCCTCATCGCAGAGACCCAATAAGTCAAGCCGGCGGTGACCACCAGGACTATTCCGCCTCAGAATCTCCTCAGAGGAAACCAAAACCTCAACTCTGTGACTCAGCAAGAAAGGCTTTTATTTTGCGGAGCAAGAGTGCAGATGGAGGACCAGAGCAACAAAAGCACACACATTCTCCTCTACATCAAAAGCTTATCAAGGGTCAAAGGCCCAAAGGACAGCCCAGCCCTAACCCTACAGGGAGCAGTGCCCCTAGCAAAAGGACAAATTTAAATAAAGCCCATGGTTCAACCAAGAGCACATTATCTAAAACTGAGAAAGATGAGGATAATTCAGCATCATCAAGTTCCAAGTCTCTTGAGAAGATGCAAAAGTGCTCACCTCTTGTTTCTCCCGTGAAACATTCAAAGATATTTAAGTCTACAGGGGTCAGTGATGGCTTAAAGAGTCCCACAAAATCACAAATAGCCAGACTTCAGTCAAGCAATGACTCTTCAGAAGATGGTATCTATGACAACTTACCATGCTCTCCACGAAAACAACGACGTCAGGACCATGACTGTGACTCAGAACTCAGATCCCTATCCCCGCCGCGACCCCCAGGTCGAACTACTTCTCTTCTTCTCAGACCTAGTAGTGACAGCTTTCCCAAAGATCAAACATCTCCAGGGCAGGCTCAAAGTTCAATGACTGGCCCAACCAAGTTGCATATGCATCAGGTTTCTTCAGTCGTACAACCTCAACAATCCAGTGCAATACTAGATGGTCAACATGCAGCCCCACAAATGGGTGCTGAAGGTAAAATGTACCACACCCATTCATCTATGATACCTCCTGTTGTAGTTCAAGAATCACAATCAGCTTCAGAATCTGTCCGGTTATCTACAGACAGAGCTACCATCAGCTATATTGAAAATGGCGTTCCCTCTGTATTGCCAAATCAGAGCGTCTTGCAAAGATCCCAACAGAGTGTCAGTGAGCCAAAACTCTCGGAAGTCTTACCACCAGCATATTCTAATGCATACTACCATCCACAGACTTCCTCTTCAAGAGCCGTAAAAAGGACTCTTCCTGTAAATGCCAAATCTCATGAGGCAATCGCTGGACAAGAAGCAAATACCTTCCTCATTTTCGGAAGGCAAAACAAGGACGATATGAACCCTTCTGGAAAAAGCATCCAGACCTTTCAGACTTTCACGTGTGACCCCCAGACAATACATGAATCCAGCACTCATGATAACACCCGCAGAAAGATTGAGACCCGTTGCAACTCGCTAGATTCTGAGCCTTCTGTCCAACCTGTTGTGTCAGACAGTGGTGTAATGCTAGACTGGGGATTTGACGAGGAAGGCTGGCTGTTCAAACGGTCTGTATCTGTTTCTACTAGACCTCCTCTTAAACCAGTGCTGGGCATGAATGGGGCCAAAGCTCGTAGTCAGAGCTTTGGTGCACGCTATATGGACAGACCAAGCTTCAACAGATCTGGAAAGGTCCGCACACAGATCAAAACACACTCAGGGAGCTCCTTGAACTCTCTTGGTGATGTCCTCCCAGGAAGTATGAGCTGCTCCAGTAGCTACCACTGTCCAATGAATCGATCCCTCTTAAACAACTTTTTGATTGAAGAGGGACTAGCAGTTCCTTTACATCTGGGGTCCTCCAGTGAAAGACTCCAAAGTCTCAAACTCCAGCGTGAGCAGGCTAGGCGACTTCAGATAGAGCAACAGTTTTCGAGCGCCTTCGGGGAGCCAGTTTCTGAAGAGCCTGAGAGACAAAGCACCATAACTACAATTGAAGAGAAAGTGATGCTCGGCATAGAGGAGAACTTGCACAAGTCTCAGGAACAAGAGCGAACCAGTGAGGTGAAGCAAAAATCTGGATCAAGCTTAGCAAGTTGGTTCGGCTTTCGTAAGAGTAAGCTTCCTGCTCCCAGCAAAAAGGTTGATCCACCGAAAGGAAAAGACGACAAGAGGGAGCAAAAGATCTCATCGCTTCTGGGCGGAAAGCAGACAAAGTCTGACAAGAAGAGAGACAGAAGAAAAAGTGATGGAAAAGACTGGTAAGAAAGCTGGTAAATCAGTGATAAAGGTCATGTTTTCCAGGTTTCCCACATGTCACAAAATCATAAAAATGGAAATTATCTTAGATTTCCAATAAATCTGCTGTAGGTAACATGCATTTTCCCACCTCAGTTGATAAGCATTTTTTGTTAACAAGCAGTGATCAGTGATAGAGAATGTGAGGCTTCATGTCGACAGCCATATACCTGCTTTGGTGTTTGTGATTGCACAGACTAGTCCACAGAGACTTTGCCCTTTAGGCAGACTTCAAAGAAATATAACAGGAATGGCTTATCTTGTCATAATGAAGAAAAAGCCCCGCCTTTCTCTTTCAGGCTGAAATATTTTTGTTCCTATAGTAGTTTAATAAGATATATACTATATACTAAGATATATATGGCTAAGATCATGTTTTAGCATCCATCTACAAAAAGTCTTCTTAAAAATATCTCTCAGTATTGCTTTTTCCCCCTTAATTTGTGTTGCCCTCACACTTTATTATTAATAACTGGAGTACAATTATTCTGAAATTCTAATATTACTAAATTACCAGACTCTCTATGTCTGCACATTCTAAATACAATTTTAACTCATGTGTTGGAGTAAAACACACACACACACAAAATTAAGGAGTGTGCAGCTCTCCGTACAGACTCACCAGCTGAATGCTGAATGAATTGTTATCACTACGATGGCCCTGAGTGGTCAAACACTCTCCAGCTTAACAAAAGCAAAAACACCAGCAAACAGAACACTGTAGTTTTCCTTGCTGGTGTTTTGTTAAGTTGCAGTGTGTATATAACAGATGTTTCATTTCAGCTGTCCACAGTAAAGATCTGACACTCTATAAAACAATGAGCTGCCACACATGTGCAGCAGGGAGTTGATGACCAACCTTGCTGAAAAGATATTAATCAATTCAAGCTTTGCAAATTAAGGACACCAAATCGAAACGAATGAAGTTGCTTTCCAATCATAAACAACAAGCTGCCACAATTTTCATTAAAACTGCCTGAGCTGGACGTTAGAAATATGTCTGTTGTTGTTGTTGAGGTTTACATCAATAAGGATGCTGAATAATATACAAAGTGAATCAAAATAGGTGTATTTTGCTTTATTTTGTATAGTAGTACATTAGTATTAAAAGACGTATACGAAAAACCATTGTCACATTTTTTCACTTAAATTCAACCATATACACAAAAGCATTCATTTTGATCTTTAAATTGGTGCAGAGACCCCGTTTTGACTCTTCTCTGCTTAATAAACTAATTACTGTACTTTTGAGATCTTCACTGCCTCTCACAGTTTCATATATACAATTGATTCATAGCTTTCCTGATTCAGATGACACGGGTCATTTTTTATCAAATGGTCAGACACATTTATGAGCCTCCTTAGCCCTGAGACCTGTTCATACAGAGGCTCACAGCCAGGTTTCAATAGATAGCGGGGTCATTTATCAGCCGACTCACCCCGGGCATCGAGAGTCAATATCACAAGATTTCAGTGTGTGGTGGCGTGTTGACAGACTGTTTTCTTTCAGCTCTGTGGGGAGAAGAGAGTCTCACGATGCAGTGCGGGCATGCATCTCAATGCCCTGCCCGGGTATGTCCCTGAGTGAGATACAAGGACATGCTGACATCATCGGGGACCCGAAGGTAAATTAATCCTTAACTAATCCAAGCAGGCAGTGATTTTATTAGCATGAGATGCATCACAGCAGCAAGAACTGTACCTTTAATGTCCGGGAAAAAATGAAGAAATGGATGAGAGGTGAATTCTGAAATACTGATACAACATTCAGCTGTTGCTTCATTTTGTTGGAATCCTTCTTTGCTTTATAAAAAAGTGTAAAAACCAAAAAAAGTCAGCACGAGGAGGGTGGAGGTATAGTGGTAGCATTAGTCTGATTAAGGAGCAAGTCATTTTCTGTGAGGACTTGGAGACTGTAATAGCTTTGGTTAAATACAAGATCTTAACCCAAACACTTCTTCTAAATTTTTATTTTACTAACAATAGCTGTTTGAGTAGGATTTTGAAAATACACCCCTTTACAACATGTGCAGTAAGGTTTTCCAACCATTTTCTTTCTTTTTTAGTGCGACTGCAGTGCCAATGACAGCAGAGCGCATTTGGCTGCAGTCTCAAGGCATCTGAGGAAATCTATAGGTCAGCCCTGCAGAATAAAAAAATAATGCTATAGGAGTGCCCAGTCAGTTAAAATACAACATCAGTATGCGCTGATCAAAAGCCAGATTTTGTTCAGTACTTGATTCTCAGCTGTTTTAATAAATGAGCTAGACTTCAGTTCAAATCCACAAACCATTCCTCCAAACTTTCTGGGAAGGACCCAAATGCAGGATGGTCCATCAAAAAATGAAACCTAAACACATGAAGGAGAAACCGAGAGGGAAACACTTTAGAAACTGAAACTTATACTAATAAAAAATAAATAAATCAATATTTGGTCTGACCACCGTTATTCTTCATCACAGTTTGAACTCTCTCAGGCAGATTTTTTGTCATTTCATTAAGTAGTCTTCAGGAATAGTTCTCCAGGCTTCTTGAACGACATTTAAAGCTCTTCCTTGGAAAGCCTGAAGAACGATTGCTGAAGACCAATTAAAAAAATTTACAAGAAAAATATTTTTTAAGAAATAAGAGGCAGGTAAAACATGTGTACTGTACTTTCTTGTCACAAGTGCCCTGTGTAAGGGCTTGTTTTAGCCACATGCTGAGCTTGAATTAAGTTTCTTACTTTTATTTTGGATCAACTGACTGTTTTTAGGGAGCTTTCAGATAACGAGTCCAGGCTATAAGTAGCAGATGCATGGATTAGCTTTTCAGCTTCACTCTGAGACAGGACGCTTCTGATTTTGACAGCACTATGCAGATAAAAGAAAGCAACCTATTTGTTAAATGCACAAGCTGAAGGATGCATCCTGATCAAAAATGACACCAAGGTTACTCATCATGCTGCTGCAGACCAAAGTAATGCCATCCAGAGTCAGAGACCATGTTCTATTAGAAGGAGAAGATTACATGTCTTTAGTTTCACTCATTGAGTTGGTTCGTCTAACATGGTGTGAGCTCAGTGATTTCAGTGGAAATGTATGCAGTGTTTTCTAAAAGAAACATGCAATGAAAAACTGCTTAATGTACAAATGTATAAAGTTTTAATATCTTTGTTTTTATTTTTCTTCAAAAATACAAAGATGCAGATGATGAACAGAAGATCTGACAGTGAAAATGGATCCACGGTGAAGAGCCCGAACCAGGATGCAGTAATAGGTCAGACTTTTCTCTCCTCTGTTCTGTCACAGTCTCCTTAAATAGTTTTAGAAGCCTCTGACTCGGTACCAATGTAGCAATGTTAATGTGTCTTTCAAACAATGATAGCATTAAGGTTTCATCTGTGCTTACCGTTTTACAGTTTGCAGACAGAAGTGAAGACCAAATTTGACACACATGTGTAAGTCATGAACATGATAAATATGCCATGAGCAGTCAAGCAAACATGCAAAATGCTAAATTTTGTCAGTTTGTGCTTTTGCCGCCACCATATCTCTGTTCATGTTTTTTTTTTTTTTTGAAATCGGAGCAAATCATTCCACCGTGGCTTTACACCATGCAGACTTTGCTCTTTAACGGTAGGCTTGACCACTCATCTTCACGGACTCATGCACTAAAAATCTGCATGCCCAGGCTCATCAAATCAGGATAAACGTATTCACTCGAGCTTACTCATGGCCAGTTTTACTGTGAGTGGTGGATCCATGATGAATCTGCTTCAGCTGTTTTGATTCTGTGGACCAAACTGCTGCTGCAACCAAAGACAGCTCACTGCCCTGCAGAGGTGTGAAGCCATACGACGACCAGAACGCATGGCTGACACACACTTTTGCTTTCATTCTCACACTGCCCAAAAAGTCTCCAGATAAAAGGAGAAGCTTCAAAACCAGCTCCTTATGAAAAAAAGATTAGCTTGAACCTTTTATTTTAGTCTTCACATTTAGTTTTTGTTTTTACATCTCAACACCACAAAGATTGGAGATTTTCCCCACCTATGTCCATATCTATCCTTTAATTTAACACCTGCCTGTTAGAGATTATTAATGAGACTTACACCTTGCAGCTTTACAGGTATTGTGCACATGCATGTCTGCTTAGTGTAACTCTGTAAGTATTTAAATTGAACTGAATTCAGTGGTCTTTATTGGGATGACTGGATAAAATATTGCCAAAATAATGCAACATTAGCATAATAATACACACCATTAAGATCATATAGAATTTGTTAGGAAGTAAAAGAACATGGGAGTAAGAAGCCTGTTCATTTGAGTCAGTGAGTGAGTTAAATACAGTTTGATTACATATGAAGTAAAAACACACACTGTAAAAAAAAATTGTAATATAAAAGTATTTTACTGTGTATTTTACAGTTTTGTACTGTTCTTCTAGAATATCATTAAATTTACATAAAGAGACTGTTATTTCACATTTCAAATGTAAATTAACGTAAAATCACTGTAAATGTAATAAAACATAATTTCTTTGTTTTTTAAATGTATCTGTCTGTACATATGCATATTTAGTAGGGCAATCGTGGCTCAAGAGTTGGCAGTTCGCCTTGTAATCAGAAGGTTGCCGCTTCGAGCCCCGGCTCGCACACTCTCGGTCGTTGTGTCCTTGGGCAAGACACTTCACCTACCACCTAGTGGTGATGGCCAGAGGGGAATTATAAAGTGGAATTGTAAAGCGCTTTGAGGTTCTCATAAAGCGCTATATGAATGCAATCCATTATTATTTAAACCAACTGTTAGCTGTATGTTTCTATACATTTAAGTATTATTATTCATATTGCCGCATTCATTCAGTTTATAAGTAATTTCATTGTTTAATCACATTAAATTGTTCCTAATTTAATGTTTAAAAGCACTTGAAAAAGGCAAAATCCCATGTAAAATTAGGGCAACAAAGTGTATTTTCATTACTGAAAATAACCGTATTTTCATGGGAAAGTTATTTTCTGTTATTTTCTGGTATTATTTTGGTGCCCCAGCTGCTGGAATATTACTGTTTTTTTAGGATTTTTTTTTTTACATTGTTCATTTGTGAGCAGCATAGACGGCAAGTTTGAGCTGAAAACTAATTATTAAGGTTATTATTGTCCCGTGGGACTTTTTTCCCCCTCTGAAATACACCTCTGCACTGTTTAATGTTCCAACACACACGCACACACACGCTCGCCCCACCATTTAGTCCAACAATCTCCCTCCAACTGATAGCTGAAAGTTGGTATGCTTGCCATAATAAGATGGGGTGCAGATGTAATTTTCTCATGCAGAGGGCTGCATGGGACTGAAATTTCAATCTTAGTTTAATAATGTTCAAATTTGGGCACACGTGTGGGAGAACGCTCCCTGTAGTGGATGTTTCAGTCTTTGATTCAAACTGAAATATCTCAGCAGCTGCTGGATGGGACGGCAGTGGATTTCATGCATCTGTATACAGTGCACAGATGGATCCTGGTGACTTGGTCAGTCTATACCTTTAGGAGCATACTCAGGCAAACTCTGGTAACTGGCATGTGAGAAAACAAGAAAGATCTGCAGTACATCCATTTTCCAGTTCACCTAACATGCATGCCTTTGGACAGTGGGAGGAACTGGTAGTATCTGAAGGAAACTCATTTAGGCACAAGAAAAACATGCAAATTCCACATACAGAAGATCCCAACAGATCTGGATGTTTCGGTGTAGGCGTAGACGTTTAGTTTGCTTCTTGAACTGCAATTACATTTTTATAATCTGTTATTTTTTATGAAGCAAGGCCACAGCTGCAAACATGGGTTCATATGGGCAAATCAAACTAATCTCTCTCGTCCCTTTTTCCTGTTATCTGCTGGTTAAAAATTTAAAAATTCTGCATTTTGACCAATTTGGTCCTTAAAGTTCTGGACTGACTGTCCCACTGGATCTGTTCTAATTACCCTTTTGAAAACAAATGCACAGACACATTAGGCTGGAGTGGGTTTTTTTTACCTGTGTGATTTAATACCAGAGAATCAAGAACACATCAAAAACACTCATGTTCTGTGCTAGGCTTGGATTGCTGCTCAGCAATAATTCAGTGTAGATGAAATCTCTCACAAAGCAAGTTTAAAAAGCATTTAAGCCTGATGCTTACTAACGAGGTGAAACTAAAGGTGGCAATTTATTTAAAAGCAGGCGAGTGGGAAAGAGATAACAGACGAGGAGTAAAACTTTATTTGGCTCTTTCTGCTTTGTGGTCACTCACTAAATTAGAAATAGCGGCTTATTAAACTTTCCACATCACTCCAGTGGAGGACCGGTGACAGAACGTACTGAAATTTCATTGGCCAGAGTGACACCATCGGCGAGGCGCTGCAAATATCAAGCATGTTTGATACGGACGAACGCTTGCCCTCGGGGGTTAATCACCTCATTAAAATTTCAGCGCAGCACCAGCTAAGCACGATCAGCCAAACTACTACTGAGTGAATTAAGTTTGCCTTCAGCTGTGAGCTGAATTATACCACCCAGACTCCAAAATGCTGGGCCTGATGCAGACTCGACAGAGCAGCTTTCAACTTGATGCATTAAAGCGAAGAGGCACAAAACAAAAATACCACAATTAAATTCTCATTTTCAGTCTCATACTTTACTGAGAAACTTTCTGGCTGCGCATTGAAGCCACTAGAGTTTATCTTAGCCACTCCTCATCAAACTGAAGTCTTATTTTAAAATCCAGCTGAGATAAAAACATGTTTTTATTACCCCCTTGTCATGGTCCAACTCATGAGCCATGAAAAGTAATGGCAGAGACACAGTTCAATGCAAATTTGTTAACTAAAAAGAGGCAAAAACTACAATTTTATTAGGTGTGTAAGTCGTCAGGAGTGCTTGAATGTTAACTGTAGGGTGGAGTTTTGTATAAAACCTCAAATAAAAGGTGCACGGTGAATGGAGAGGAAATATTGTGACAGCCAGCTCATAAATGTGCTACAGAGACCAGCCAGGTGCTCCCAGCTGCACTGATTACCAGGAGCCTGCAAGGCAAAACAAAGGGACAAACAAGGGAATGCATAATGCAGGACAGGCTGCTGCAGCTGGGGCGTCACACGCCTGTAAAATTACATGTCTTAAAAGTTTTAAAGTTGTTTGCATGATGGAAATGGACTGGTATTTATTTGTCAGGGTGCGCTCGCGAAGCGTGCAGCTTCATAGTCACATCCACCTTCAAATCACCAAGCTCAAGTATTCATAACGGGCAACATCACGGTGGCTACGTCCTTCTTTTATATAGTCCATGTGTTTATCACCAACCAAAGTGCTCATATAACCAAACTAGTGAAACGTGCCACTGACCCGATATGGATAGTCATATGCACAGCTAATATCTGGACAGCATGCGGCGAAACTTTGAATTATTCGATCCACTATGATATGATTCGTTTGGTTGTTGTCAGGATCTCTGCGGCAGGAGCGGGGCATCCATCATCTTTGCCATAGATTTGCAGCATTCATGGAGTGCCGTATCTGCTCCTTACATAATATCTCCCTATATAACTTACTAAACTATATCATAACGAGTGTGCTGCTCGTTCTGCAGGTAATCATCATTGCCTAATAACAATAGCACCAATAATAATCTCATTTTATAAACCAAAGATGCAAGGCTGGTCATGTAAAAAGGTGCAGGTTTATCAGCCAAGAGACCCTGTTTCATGCCCTGTTTGACTCTCTATTAGCCCTTTTAGCACTGACTTGGGTCAGCTCGGCACAACTCCATTAAGTCCATTAGGTTTTCGATTAGGTCATAGTACCTGGCACAAAGATCCAAGCAAATCCAAAAATGTGATGTCAACAGACTGCATGCCACAAATTGGCTAACCAGTGGCGTCACCTGATGAGTCATAAGACTTTCTCCTTCACGAAAATCAAAACCGCCCTTTGTGACACTCGGCAACGAGGAAAATAGCTGTACAGAGTCTCATGAAAAGTCACACACCGAGAGGCAGGTATAACACCACCTTGGCATCCACAACATTTGTGTCGCATACAAATGATGTCATGGGATGTTTGGCTACGTTGTTATAACGAACGTGGAAGTGAGCTCATGTTTGAGGCCACTTCCATTCCCACTCAACAATTAGAGAAAAGTTTAGAAAAAAAAAGGTTTTTCTATTAAAAGTAGTCTTTATATTTGTGATTTCAGAGTATTGAGAGGCTGGGCATACAGAAGTGAGTGATGGCAAAGGAAAAGGCTTTGTATGTAAGGCTGGATGCTAAGGAAGGTGTTGATTGGCTAGGCAGAGAGATCAAGCTGGAAAGAATGTGCAGCAGGTTAGGGTACAAACTCCTTTAACCTCTTAAACCCCAAGCCTAACTGATCTCCTGCCTTTTGCCCCCGTATCAGGGGGCGTTGGGGCTTAAGAGGTTAACCAGCTGCATTGGTCTTTAAGCACCATCCAAAGGACAAGATTACACATGAGTACATCAGAGGGACGACTCAGGCTAAGATGGTTTGGACACGAAGTTAGAGAGGTAAGCCTGATATGGTTTGCAGAGAAGGAATGGCGGATGTACTGGAAAAAGGATGCTACATATGAAGCTGCCAGGCAGGAGGAAAGGGGGAAGCCTGTAGAGAAGATTCATGGATGTAGTGAAGCAGGACATGCAGACTGTTGGTGTGATAGAAGAAGATGCTGGGACAGGATGAGATGGAGGCAGATGATCCGCTGTAGCAACTCTAAAAGGAGCAAGACGACTGGATTTCCCCTTTCTGGTCTGTGTTTGAATAATTTTTCTGTGATGAGTTTCTCTTTTACATTCAAGTCAAGCTTGTCAGATTTTATTTTTGTTTTCAAGTTGATTTTCACTAACAAGATGCCCTTTACTGAGAGGTGTAAATTGCTGCCCAGCCCTTTGACCTATTAAGATGTGAACATCAATACCTTAAATCAGGGATGTCAAACTCATATTACATCATGGGCCACATAAAGCCCACATTGACCTTAAGTCAAACCAGAGAACCAGAGAAAATGCCCCTTCTGT